TAAGATACTGGGCAATTACTGTGCTTTGATGTGGGCAATTAGTGTAAGTAATGGGCAATGACTGTACTTTTTGGAGGATTTTAAATTTATTTCAATATTTTCTAAGTTACGTAAGTTTTAACTAAAAACTGTTAATATTCTGTTTAACAGTTTATTGAGTTATAAGAAAAAAGTCATAAATAGTCGATAATTAAAATACTTTCTTTAATTTTTCATCTCAATGTGTTTGAAATCTTTAAGTGGGCAATAGCTATACGGTTTACCCTATTTTCAAAATAACTATCAGGGGGTGATTAGTGATCGATACTGATGCCAAAAATGCAATCAGTAAAATTTTTGTCTGTCTGTCTGTCTGTCTGTCAGTCTGTCTGTCTGTCTGTCTGTATTTTCCTTATAGAAACAAAAACTACTCGACGGATTTTAACGAAACTTGGTACAATTATTCTTCATACTCCTGGGCAGGTTATAGGATACTTAGGAATTCCCACGGGAACGGGAATTAGCGGGTAAATCCTTTTGTATGAAAAATCTAAACCGCTTGAGTTATACGCTTGAAATTTGTTATGCAGGTACCTTAGTAAAAATAAAGCTTAGTTACAACAGGATATTGCAAAATTCCCACGGGGACGGGAGTTAGCGGGAAAAAACATTTGTATGAAAAATCTAAACCGCGTAAGATAGATGAAGGGGGTAAAACGGGATCCACGCGTACGAAGTCGCGGGCGGCCGCTAGTAACTAATATTCCCATTAACATTAAGTAAACGTAAAGCAACAAAAAAGATTCCCTGTCACAGGAATTCGAGTAACATAATACCTACCTAAATCAGTTCGCAAAGTATTACGTATTCAAGATGGCTATATACTCGTACCTTCGCATAAATACTCCACAATAGTGTGAATCGAGATAGGCTGCATAGATCGCGTTCCTTTGTTGGGCTCTATTGAGGGCTGGGTCAACAGTCTTTTATATGTATATCTAGAAGGATTGTAGAGATTGCAATCTACAGTAAAGTTCCTTGAGCGAAGATATACCCACAGGGACTACGAGTATTTAGGGGTTTCATATCACTTTTTATAATGAAAGACACCATTAATTTGGACCAAGCTGAAGGTGGACTAAGTCCCAAGACTCTTCCGATTCACTTTTTACTACATAACTATTTAATAACTGTTTCAAGAAAGCACTCTTTCTTTTTAAATATCACATGAGAATGCAGAGAGGACTCTCAAGCTAAAAATCTCAGTTTAGAAACCGGGCATTGGTAATAAATAATATTACTTGAGATTTAATTATGAACCTTAATAGATAATCTTATGAGCAGATCCATTGTTCTAACTACTAAAATTGAACCAAACACAGGCTTGAATACCACAGTGGTGGTGGTGGTGGTAGGTACCAGTGTAGTGGGTTCCGTTCCATACTTTCTGTACAGACAACACATCAAATTAAACACAGGTCTCTTATGTCGTTGTAATCGATGCTATTTTTGAACAAAAATGCCTAGTCTGATATGCGGTCTGCGCTTTCTACGATCTACGATACGAATATTCGACCAACAGCACGTAAATCTGCCCTTCATTGTAACTTGGCACCACGATAACGGTACAATAGTGCGAATATGAAATATGGCGCACTCTAGACCAAGCTTTATTGAATGCACATTTTGTGGAGCAAAAACTGATATTGCATTTCACCTTTAGTAAATTAAGAGGTTTAATAACGGTGCATCGACGGTACGTACTAAATTATCTGTGTTTATTTTTTTCAAGATGAATATTGGTAATTGGAATCTATTTAATCAAAAAGCTGCATTACGTATGAGGCTCCCTTACGTCTTTTGAAAATACTAAGATGTTATGTGAAAAATCGTATCTTGGGGCTCGATTAATTCGAAATTGGAAATACAATAATACCTACTCATATTATCTTATCCATTTCAAAAATCTCAAGCCCAATCCAATAAGAAGTACTTATGCGTAAGTGTCCCCACTGTATTTCTGAAACGTTACACTCTAAAAAAAGTTATTTATTTACTCACTTATTCTTAGGGAGATGAACTTAAGTAATGACCTCACTAAAGTTATCCTTTTAAACATTTTAAACTCCTTTCTTTTAGCGCAGCTCCAAATGATTGTGACAGTGAGATTCTAATCAATAAGCAACTGTTACAAATGCAATTGTACCCATAATTAATAACCAAAACACTTGCAATTGTCACGTCTATTTGCACCATTATATCAGTAGTTCCAAAACCGAAAATTAACGTTTACCGTTCTCATCGAGCTGTGAATCCCGCGTTAATGGCGCCGTGAATCATGGGCTCATTGTTATTTTGTCATTACCGTAATAGAACGGCGAGCCCGTGAGTTATTGCCGCAGATACTGCTATGAGAATTGGTAAATAACATGCTTAGTACTTTGACAGGAACGTAAGTGGTGTGTTGAGAGAGATCTTGGAGGGTCTTTAAATACCAGTATTCCCTTTTGATTGTAGTTTCATGAAGCCAGATTTGTTGTATGATGAGAGAGGTGGTTCCGAAAATGCCCAACGAGATGCCCTTGAAGGCTTTTTTATAGGATGCATTTTGTGATTTAATTGACTTTTAACAAACTTAGTAGAGTTTTTACTATGGCTGTTTGAAGTTTAGCTTTTATACATTTATTTGGGAATAAACAGTCAAAAGTACTCTTATGACACTCTTCTTTGACTGAACCAACATTCCTAAAGGTAAGCTTAGTACGACACCATCTTACAACAATCAATCATCCAACATTTTAATCTAAGTACTTTATTAAATTATTTCTAGATGTTAAAATAAAACCTGCAAAATGGCCAACTTATAACTCCAAGCTTTTGTTACCTAAGCTTGTAGTAAACTAAACGTAATATAGTTGCTATTAGGCAGCCAATTGCGTAATTAATTGGAGCAGCAGCTGACTCCTTAATTAATATCAAACAACAACATGTACTACAGAGCGATTGTAATTGACTACAGTCGTAAGACAACTCAATCGAAGGGCTATGAATTACTCCACAGAGCATTAAGATCAAATGTTTTGTATTCAAATTTTAATTATACTACGTCGTTGCATCCTCGAGATTTATATAATTCACTATGTAGTCCGCTCTTCAATGTACCGGGCACCAAGCACAACTTTAGAGATATAAAATAAAATAAAGGATTCGTATTGACTAGTACCATTTTCTGCCGCTGCACGCGCTGGTGGCGCGCGCGCGCCGCTAGAACCGTCATTCGCTTGTTTTGTGCGGGCATCATAGCATCAAATCCATTAAAATATTTTCATTTCTTAGTATTTGTTGCTGTTTATTACCGAAAGTGNATAGCTATAATTCTTCGTTATCTTAAAGATTAATATTCATCCTTCAAAATTGTGTGTGTGTTTTTTTTGTGTGATGATTTATAAATATAAAACTTTTGAACTGTTTCAAAGCACACTTTTTTTTTTCAAAATGTACATTTTTTTTGAGAAATACTCATATCAGTAGTTCCAAAACCGAAAATTAACGTTTACCGTTCCCATCGAGCTGTGAATCCTGCGTTAATGGCGCCGTGAATCATGGGCTCATTGTTATTTTGTCATTACCGTAATAGAACGGCGAGCCCGTGAGTTATTGCCGCAGATACTGCTATGAGAATTGGTAAATAACATGCTTAGTACTTTGACAGGAACGTAAGTGGTGTGTTGAGAGAGATCTTGGAGGGTCTTTAAAGAAATACCAGTATTCCCTTTTGATTGTAGTTTCATGAAGCCAGATTTGTTGTATGATGAAGAGAGGTGGTTCCGAAAATGCCTAACGAGATGCCCTTGAAGGCTTTTTTATAGGATGCATTTTGTAATATAATTGACTTTTAACAAACTTAGTAGAGTTTTTCTATGGCTGTTTGAAGTTTAGCTTTTATACATTTATTTGGGGAGACAAACAGTCAAAAGTACTCTTATGACACTCTTCTTTGACTGAACCAACATTCCTAAAGGTAAGCTTAGTACGACACCATCTTACAACAATCAATCATCCAACATTTTAATCTAAGTACTTTATTAAATTATTTCTAGATGTTAAAATAAAACCTGCAAAATGGCCAACTTATAACTCCAAGCTTTTGTTACCTAAGCTTGTAGTAAACTAAACGTAATATAGTTGCTATTAGGCAGCCAATTGCGTAATTAATTGGAGCAGCAGCTGACTCCTTAATTAATATCAAACAACATGTACTACAGAGCGATTGTAATTGACTACAGTCGTAAGACAACTCAATCGAAGGGCTATGAATTACGCCACAGAGCATTAAGATCAAATGTTTTGTATTCAAATTGTAATTATTATCTTTACCTAGAACCTCATAGACCGTCAGACTCAGGCAGGGATTCTAATAGAGTGCATAAAAACTATTATCCTACTGCTCCGAAATTTTTGGGTTAGGATAAGAGATGCAGTGAGTCATTCGGAGTTTCGTTCAATGATCAATTTATCAAAAGTTTTTGTTTTACAAACTATTGAACATTAGATCGAGTGCTCATACATATTAAGATGATATCTTAACTTAATGCAAAGTGTAAGGAGCTGGAAAACGAACTCCTGTGAACTCGAAATATTTTTTTATCTGGAATAAGAGTCACATACGAGTATATTTTTATTCAGTCCTATATTCCGTAGAAAACACCCCAAGCTTAATTCTGTGTCATATTAACCAGTTATAACAAGTGCGCTTTTGAAACAAATTGTAGAGTCTGATGCTGACTATAACTCTCTGTCATTTTTATAAAGCTGCTTCCTTTACTGTTTTCTAATCATAACCTTCTCTAGGTCCCCATCAACCCACACCATGTCTCCGTGGATGAAGAAGTTGTTTCTGCAGCTGATGCCCAAGCTCCTCATGATGAGGAGGACCAAGTACTCTTTGCCTGACTACGACGATACCTTCGTCTCGAATGGATACACCAACGAGCTGGAGATGAGGTAAGTTTTACTTAGTACTCGTACCGTTTTAAGTTCCTGTAATTTTTTTGATAATTTATCTGTAAGATAAACAACCACGTTTCGCTTCGCACTTTATACTTATTATAGCGTAGGTACTATTCTTAAAGAAAGTTAGCTCCCATTACTACAATGCAGGATTCTGTAAAACTGGATTGTCGTGTGAACAAACACATTCGAATTCCAAATTCAACACGAACGCGTCGGTTTTTCTTCGGGACATTGCAAATGGGATTTGTAAACGCTTAAATACGTACTGATCCTGCAAAAAACAGTCCTGCAAAACGGGCTGTTTCCGTGGAAGAAAGCACATCGGCAACTCTTCTTGCATTGCAGTGTAAATGGAGTATTCGCTACCAATATTTCGTATTAATCAAGGATCCCATGATAATGATCAGCCAAATATTGCAATCCACAATCAAATGTCGAGTCATTACATATAATAATTATCTGTGCAGCTGTCGATCATCCCTAGTCAATTAGCTAAACAACTATGTGCATTGTCAAAGCGCTGTTTTCACATACAACATTGGTCAACTTTCCACTGGCTGTACTAAATCCGTTTTAATCTGGATTAATCCGGTAATTTCAACAAATCGATTTGTTTATAAATAAATTAGTGACTATGTGCTAATATTCAGTATTTATAACGTGCATGTTTTGTCGTATAAGAAGATTTGTTCTCCTGCAATGCACAACACTCTAAAAACATTGGCCGAGAAGAAACCTTCCTAACGTCTCTAACGTTTAAGAAATAAATAAATAATAATAATAATTTATTTGCCTTAAATAAGATGAAGAAGGTGGTTACAGAGTAGTTCTTGCTTGATATAATATCGAGCGATATTAGTGTAGGACTTCATCTTTTAGTTCAAAATCTTTGCTTACTGTTAGTCACTGGGACAAAATTTTAACTTTTTTTGTTTCAACTTATCTTCACTTTGTCAATACAATCTCATTGTTTTGTCTGTAAATCCAAATAATTTTCCCTTTGTTTATTTTGAATGGCGATCATGGTGCGTGCTTTAATGACGGTTCGCCATTTTATGGGGTGGAAAATCTCTCGTATCGTATTAATCGTTTAAAAATCAACAAATTCCAGTCTGCCCGGGGCTCATAACGATTAAGGTGCGCGCACACGGGCAATGTTTTGGGCACTTTGACATCGCGAATAGATCACTGTTAAGCTTTACCAATTAAATAAAAAATGAGGCAATTGTTTTGTAAAGGTATGTATTGTTTTGTCATTATAAGAAATTGCTCAATGAGGCCATAGCATCCGTTGTATTGTACTTAAGTGTCGCAGTAGACTGTAGGTTAGAGACGTGATACCGTAAAGGTTCGGTCAAGCCAAAGCGTGCAGCCTGCGTGCGCGATGGCGATCTAAAGGTTCAGCCAAACCAACGCGATGACACGCGATCAGCCGGCGTACAGCGATGGCGATCAATGCATTTAAACTGATTTCTACTGATCGCCATTGCCATCGCCATCGCGCACGCAGGCTGCACACGTTGGTTTGGCCGAACCTAAGTTCGTTATCAGGAAGAATTTAAAGGGGTAAAATGAAAATCATGCCCCATACAACTCTGCTTGGCCCCTCCGAGGGAGATTTGCAGTTTAATTTGTAAAATAATAAGTTTTACAAACCTTTTCACTTACAATCAGGTGAGAACCAGGCTTCCCTATATGTAAATCACACTTATTAAATCGTCGTATTTGAAAATCAAACCCCGATTTGAACAGTTTAAATCACCTGTGTAAACGAACCCTTATATTGAAATGTTTTCTTTTTGCCAGATTGATTAAATGCTGGAAGTATCGGTAGTGTAGCCGTATAAAAGCAAACGAATCCATTTATAATATGAATTTGGTAAAACAAGATGCATTCAGTTTGTATTTCATTTTTGTACAGGCATTTTATGATAATTGTGATATTGAATTGCGATGTCGATGAAATACGTGTAATTTAAATGGAAAACCTACAGTTACGCAATGCTATTCAAGATTCATTTCCAACAAAGGCATTTGTATCCTCAGATGCATTTCCAACAAAGGCATTTGTATCCTCAGATGCATGGATAATAAATAAATAAATTCTTGAATGAATGAACGAAACGTTTATTTATATTGTTTTCATTTGTAACCCAATCTGGTGATATCTAGTGAAAAGTTTGCTTTACTAAAAATTGTTATAGTATGTGTATACGATTGTTTAATTTACTTCCAAATCACATTCAAAATTTACAATTCAATCTCTTTAAGAGAACTATTTTCCGAATTCTCACTGAAAACTGTTTTTATGACATAGATGAATTTATAAAATTCTGCCGTGGTAACCATATGCGAATTGCTAATTTATGACATTCTTGTAATTTTGATACTGACATTGTATTCTCACATTTTATTGTGATCATAAAATTGTTTAATTTATTATAATTTATGTGACATCCTAAATTTTAATCCTTACCTGAATTACCTAATTGTTTTAATTGATATTGTAATTGCATTGTAATAAATATTTTTGACATTTAAATTCTATTGGAGGTAGATCATGTAATATTAATAATGACTATTAATAATTTAATAATAAAACTGCATGACGACTAAATGTTTGCATATCGCTATGTCGATGAAACATGTTGTTCTCGTAGCAAGATAATAACTGAAATGTACCATGTTTTATGCAAATAAATAATTTTGATTTGATTTGATTTGAAAGAATTACCTTTTATTGTATTAAACTAAAGGTAAAAAATGATCGGCCGTACGTTAATTGATATGCGCAGACCATCGATTTTCCGTCGGCCGATAGTTTAGTCGGGCAGTTGATCAGTATGGGCATGTATGGAAGTGCGCACATTACGCCGATTTGATTTGGCCGATTCTTCATACAATTTAAAATCGGGCACAACTATCGGCCAACTAAAAATCGATGGTCTACGCCTAGTCTTAATCATTATACGGTGCAATATACAGCTGTTTAGTACATGCGTACATAACAGGTTTAACTTGTACAGCCATCTTCAAATAGTTCATGACACACTAAGTAGCCAAAAAGTTCACAACACGTCTTTGTTACAATGAGGATCAGTACTGTTGTAGGAAATTCAATAAAACTAGTATCTACGTTAATCTTTAAGACATAAGAAAGATATATCTTTTTGAATTATCCAAACCGGACCATTACTTACGAAGATATTAAGTAATAAACATAGGCCGTTTTTGCCGCTAAAAGTCAACGTACGCAGGGCCGCGTGACGTCACTATATCCGAATCGAGCGCAGCTGGCGTACTATTGGGATGCAAAATATTTTTTTCCAGCTAAACTATCAGTTTTAGAAAAAAACTTATAATAACATTTATTAATCAAAATAAAGTAACCTATCGACCAGTAATTTTTAAAAATAAAAATTGTGAAAAATAAGTATCGCTATGTCCAAAAACCACATTTTCATAGGATTCGATGCAATGCGGAGACGCGGTTGGGGTGAGTGTAACTTAATGATTGTTTGTATTGAACATAATAAATACATAATATGATGCTAATACCCAGTTTCTGGCCTGGAGGGGGGGGGATAAGTCATACCCAGCTTATAGCNACATAGTGAATTATATAAATCTCTTCGGATGCAACGCCTCGTATAATTATGGTCAAACATCACAAGGTAAGTTTGTTTAACCATCAATTATTATCTTTACCCAGAACCTCATAGACCGTCAGAGTCAGGGATTCTGATAGAGTGCATAAAAACTATTATACTGCTCTGACATTTTTGGGTTAGGATAAGAATAAGATGCAGTGAGTCACTCAGAGTTTTGTTCAATAATAAAATCAAAAGTTTTTGTTTTACAAACTATTGAACATTAGATCGAGTGCTCGTAAATATTAAGGTGATATCTTAATGCAAAGTGTAAGGAGCTGGAAAACTGATTTCTGTGAACTCGAAATATTTTTTGTCTGGAAATAAGAGTCACATATATTTTTATTCAGTCCTATATTCCGTAGAAAACACCCCAAGCTAAATAAAATTCTGTGTCATATTAACAAGTTATAACAAGTGCGTTTTTGAAACAAATTGTCTATTTCTGTCATTTCCTAAAGCTTCCTGTGCTATTTTCTAATCATAACCTTCTCTAGGTCCCCATCAACACACACCATGTCTCCGTGGATGAAGAAGCTGTTCCTGCAGCTGATGCCCAAGCTCCTCATGATGAGGAGGACCAAGTACTCTTTGCCTGACTACGACGACACCTTCGTCTCGAATGGATACACCAACGAGCTGGAGATGAGGTAAGTTTTACTTAGTACTCGTACCGTTTTAAGTTCCTTTTTTTATGCTAGACAAGGCAGGTATTTGACCGCAATCGCACCTGGTGTTAAGTGAGATGCAGTCTTGGATGGTAGGTACATATCTGTAAGTGCTTATTAACTCTTGACTTGAAATCGCCCGGATTATAGTGTTCAGAAAATACAGCAGCAGGCAGCGAATTCCAGTCCCTAGCTGTTCGCATCATAAACTAGTTCGTTCGTTTCAGCCGAATGACGTCCACTGCTGGACAAAGGCCTCCTCCAAGGTTTAACATAATGCACGGTCCTGCGCTGCAGTATAAACGAGTACTGTATTTTTTTTTATAATGTATCTGTTAGATAAACTACCACGTTTCGTTTCGCACCTTATACTTATTATAGCGTAGGTACTACATTCTTAAAAAAAAGTTAGCTCCCATTCCCACAATGCAGGATTCCGTAAAACTGGATGGTCGTGTGAACAAACACATTCGAATTCCAAATTCAACGCGAACGCGTCGGTTTTTTTCGGGACATTGCAAATGGGATTTGTAAACGCTTATACGTACTGATCCTGCAAAAAACAGTCCTGCAAAACGGGATGTTTCTGTGGGATAGAGTACATCGGAAACTCTTCTGGCTTTGTTGTGTAAATGGAGCATTCGCTACCAATATTTCGTAGTAATCAATGATC